CACTTAGGTACTAGTATTGTATTTACTTACAGTCGAAATGTTATTTTCTTCCAGTTGATGGCAGCTGGGCGCAATGGAGCGAGTGGAGTACATGTACAAAGAGTTGTAAACAAGGAAAGCAATCAAGAACACGTAAATGTAATTCGCCAGCTCCTCAGTACGGTGGAAAGAAATGTGATGGCAAAGCAAAGGAAAGTCAAGTGTGTAACCAGAAGGTGCCCTGCCCAGGTAAGCTTGAATTCACAGCCTCTGTACCAGGTAATTTTAAAATTTACTATCTTTCTTTGATATATGTTTAGTCAACTTTAGATGTGTTTGACTCGTGTCGAAGATTACTTTTCGGGTGGTGTGACATGTAGATAAATATGCGTGAAGCTGAAGCTTCCAATCATTTTCATTTTGCTACTATTAGTTGACGGAGAATGGGGAGAGTGGGGCGAGTGGAGCACTTGCACTAAAACCTGCAAACAAGGAAAACAATCAAGAAAACGTGAATGTAATTCACCAGCTCCACAGTACGGTGGAAAGAAATGTGACGGAGAGGCACAAGAAAGTCAAGTGTGCAACGACAAAGTCTCTTGCCCAGGTGCGCTAATATTGCCAAGAAATGCAAATTATTAGTTTAGATATTCAACTGATAATTTATTCACGGTTTTACACCGTAAAATGTTTTAAGAGAAAGTTCACTTAAGTCGGTTGTGCCTTTGGCGTAAGCGCGACGAGGCACAAAGAAAAATACGAACATGTCTTGTGTGAACCACCTTGAACTAATATGAGGTTCGTATTAGGATAACTATTCTCCGCCCAATATGAAGGGAAAAAAGATTGCTATTTAACAACAAACTATTTTCTTTTGTCCAATGTTTTTGAAAAGCATTTCGCCGAAACCTGTACGGGAAGAGTTCATCCCAGCAGTCCATGCTGCAAAATTCGGGGAACCAATCAAAAGTCTCCTTTTCATATTGGACTGGTTTGCCATTTAATGTTAGAAGAAGCGAAGCCCGCAATTGCTAAACCGGGTGGGATTATTTTTCATAGTGAATGGAAACTGGGGAGAGTGGGGTGAATGGAGTAAGTGTAGTAAAACATGCGGAGGAGGAGAACATTCAAGAACACGCAAATGCAACAATCCAGCGCCTGCTCATGGAGGTAAAGACTGTGTAGGAGCATTCAGACAAAGACGGCTTTGCAACAAGGATAAGTGCCCAGGTAAGACTCAGATTAAATTATAGCACGTTAAGCTCAATTTAAGGCATTCCTTAGTTTTGAAATTGTAGTGGTCTGACATTTCAATGTTTCGAACATCATTTTCAAGCTAACAGCAAAAATATCGGGGGACATAAGAATTTAAACAAGCGAAAGGCATAATTAACAAATTGTAGCGCATGTTCCACTTCGTGCGGATGGCGCCCGCTTGCGCATGCATTTTCAAGGATGGTGGGTTTTCTTTGATTATCATCATTTCGTAAATGAGACACTCGAATTTGTGTAGTTTAATTGTTTTATTTACTTAAATTGTAAATTTGCACTGTTGTCATTCATGAAAGTGAAACATCGTTCTATTGTCCAACTTCCTAGGCTCACCCATTTCCATCTTTTATGGCGGGGCGATCATTTCCAGATCCTTTCCACAATCTGGGGATCATTCCCGGTCGCTGAATCATTTGCGTGCCCGAAACAAATCTCGTTGTCTTTAAAACTAAAAATGGAAACGACAAGAAAAATTTGAAGCAATAAAATTCTACTCGTACTTTCCTTATTCTGTTTTTATTAGTTAATGGAGGCTATGGGAAATGGACTACCTGGAGCACATGCAGTAAGACATGCAAAGAAGGAAAAAGGTCAAGAACTCGCGAATGCAATTCTCCAGCGCCTCAGTATGGTGGAAAACACTGTCAAGGAGACCCCAGCGAGACAGTCACTTGCAACGAGAATGTTCCTTGCCCAAGTAAGAAAATAAGAACTTACCTAATACTGGTTACACTACTGGTCCAGTTTCCGGCTATTGCTAAGCCCTCCTAGCCTGGGATTTCTGTTGTGGGGAGGGATCAAAAAATAACTTTAACTTGATAACGAGGTCTATTCGGGCGATGAGCTCTTTAACCTTTCATCCTCCCTTGATGAAGAAAATAATTAACAACATTTAGAGTTATTAGGCCGACAGAATTGCAGTAGGTAAGGGTTACAAAAGTAAGAGTGCCAGGATTGTTAGAATTTATTACTGATGTTTATCACGCACAAAACTTCCGTTTTGCAGTTGACGGAATGTGGGGTTCGTGGAGCTCTTGGACGGCTTGCAGTAAAACATGTGGATACGGTACCCGAGAGAGAACACGTAACTGCGATAATCCCAAACCGGCGCACAATGGAAAATCCTGTGTTGGAATTGGATTTCAGAAACGTCGATGCCATGCTTACTATCCTTGCCCAAGTAAGTTAAAGATTGGATAGCTTTACTCAGTTATGTTTTAATATATTAAAATATATGGGAAAATGACTGTTAATTCGCGTTGATATGGGGAACTGAATGAAATGGGCAGAAAATATCGACTATGAATAAAACTTCCTTAAAAAATCAGAAGACAGGACATTATTAAGATACGAGAGGCTTCCTGATAGGGATGTTTGTTCCACTGGCTAGAGTTTTTTCTTTAAACAATTTTTTTTTTTCACGTGTACCTTGTTGCTATTGTTATAGTTGATGGTCATTGGACCACCTGGGGTTCCTGGACTCAATGCACCAAGACCTGCGGCTTAAGCTACAGAAAGAGATCCCGTTCATGCACTGACCCCGCTCCGCAATTCGGTGGAAGTGGTTGCGATGGACAGAATGACCAAGTTGAACGCTGCACAGGCAAACCTTGTACGTAGAATGTTTGTTGTGATGTACAATGCCAAGTCCGTTGTGATATATTGTCACCTATTTTTACTCAATTTAGTTCAAAAGTTTAAGGCTTGTTTCCTTTTGTTTCTTTTTCTTTCCATTTTTTTCGCCAAGATGTCAAATTTGATAGTTGCTGCGTTGAGTTCGTCTGAAGGGCCTTGGGTTTGTGCCGTGACATACAGTGATCGTTGTGTTGTATTCCTGAAAAAGAAAATTTCTTTTTTCAAAGAATCTCTACACCCAGGAGTTTAAAATAGTAACAGGGGATTTCTAAGCAGCTTACGAAAATGTGGCAGTTGAAGGTGGATTGACGGCCGAAACATTTCATTCAGAGAAAACATGCCGAAAGCTCAGAAAATGTAACACCGACAATAAATCTTGATTCTTGATACCGGGACGGTCTCTCTACAATGTAGCTTATTCTTCTAAATATTTTATCGCTCACGTGTTCTTAAGGAGTTCTAACATTGCAAGAAATGTTGGGAGATAAAAAGTTTGTTTGTTGCTTAATGTAATTTTTTTTTTCTGCAGGTTATTGATTTTTTTTTCAATGTTGGAGATGTAAGTATTCAAGAATATGTTGATTTATCCTGTGTCTGTTTTACTTTCACGTACATATATTGTGTTTAAATGTACTTTGGTTTTGGTTTACCCACACTTGAATTTTTCTACAACGTAACGGGACACGGGAAAACGTTTCCTCTATCCTGAATATCTTGTCTGCCTATAGCAAAGACATTTAACACTGAGTCAGATTTGAAGTTCGCACATAATGCTAGTCATGGTATATGTTTTGCCTCTAGGTCAAATCTAAGTGCTACCACTGACCTAATAGGAAGAGACAACGGAAACGCCACAAGATATCAAAGTGTAATGTAGTGATGACTTTAAGTATATTGATAATAAAGAGCGTTTATTGAAAATAATGTCAGTGTCTTCTCTTTTATACAAAGTGTAATATAGATCAATGATATTATAACGCTTGTGATTAGGTATAAATGGGTTAAGATTGGCCCAAAATATTTCTTTTGCGGACAAGGTGACCTATCTTTTTTATTGTGAGGTTTAAGAAAAAAATCCTTCGACAACTTTTATTTCTGACGAAATTATACCTAATTATTCATTGCTTTCCTGCTGGATACAGGAAGGTGGCTGCGCTACTCGCGGATTCAAAAAAATCGTTCGATAACTTTTATTTTTGAGGAATCATCTTAAAGGATCCGAATGCAGGTCGAAATGTCATGGGTTCAACTCCAGTAGGGGATGCATTTTTATGCAATATTTTTAACAAACTCTTTTTTTTTTTTTTTTTTTTTTGCATCTATCTTCTTTTTTGCCATCTGATTTAAGATAGCAGTAGAAACCACAGAATCCCCAAATGCAATCCCTTTCCTCTGCTTTAAGCCTCCCCCCCCCCCCTTTTGTTTTTAGCTAATAGCTAGTATGGAAAGCTTTGAGAAGACATGGATGACTTTGTACAAACGAGAGCAAATTAACTTCACGAAACTTCACGAAAGTAAGAGTCAACAATGGACTCGATAAATGTTTTTAAAGATGCAAGCTGGGCTTATCAAACGTCAGTTATTTTAGTTTTTTTCAACATTTTAAGTTGACTCAGACCTATTCTTCGTGACCCTTTAGTGTGGCACACGAGGATGATCGAATCGTGTGATAGAAAATGTAAAAGTTCATATAAACGCTACCGAATTCCTTTTGAAATGAAGGAGGAGCATAAGATCTGTTGCCCTGATTAAACGACGAATAATAGTTGATGTTCTGAGCCGATTCTGCGAGAACTTTCATCATTAACTATTATCGACTATCATGCACCGTTCGACCAGGGCTTTAAAGTTGTTTCAAAAGTGAATAATACTTGAAAAATGACCTGTTGTGTACATTTGGCTCATACGGATTCACGTGGACTCCCCATATCAACAAAGAAAATGCAAAACGTTCGGAGAGTAAAGCGTGCAAAGGGTGTTGTCGTTAAAAGCTGTGACGTATTTGTTAACTGGTTGGTCTAATCGTATTTTCCATATTCATGACAACTATTGTTGATCTGAGGTGCGTGTTTGTCATTTTGAGATATTTGCTGTGGGAGTAAGATGTGTACAGTTACCTTTTACACGAGAGACAAATTCTTACTTTGAAGAGGAAATGGCGACCACGTTTGGGAAGGACAGTCGGTTGACACCCAATTCTGTCAATGGTTAGTATCAATATCTTTACATTCTACCTTCGCAAGTCATGCATTCAACCACGTGCGCTAGCTGTACTCGGTTTACATTTCGTGTTGTACTTCAGAGCAACCGTACAGTAAATAGCTTTAGTAACAGAGTAAAAAGTGTTTTAGAAGCTAGGTCATGAACCATACGAGACGCTTAAGTTCTTAACCTCTCAGCTGAAATATTTGCATTGGAGTGACATTTGAGTGCGAAAATAGATTAAACTCGGTAGTGATTGTTAATTGACGCTGCCAATTTTGATGGAAAGATTGCAACCACTTTCGAGCTGTACCTGTTTTCAAATTATGGGGAGTTTTATTTCTTTGCTAGAGCGATCATCGACCTGATTAAATTATATTTTATCGGTTCGGCTTTTGCATGCCTTACTACCTGCATTTTGACAAAGTTGAGTATCTTTTGCTTTTTATTTGAAAAATCCATATTTTATACAATCGCTCAACTCTCTTAAGTTTGAAAGCATGTTACCAAGCGATAACGTTCGTAGAGTATTTTGTTAAGGTGGCGCTGAATGTTGAAAAAGAGATAATTATTGGTTACGTGATCACGTCAGTCCTATCAAATGATGTTTTGATATAAGTTGGACAAACCATTCAACGCCGAACATTTTAAAATGTATTTTGTTTTTTTTTCAAAATCGCATTAGGCACTAAGTTTTTATGAAGTGGATTGTTTGTTAGAATGCAATGCCCTTGCTCGAATACAACATTAGAGGACTGGTAGTGGAAAATTCTTTCAGTTGAGCTACAAGATTTATTATTTTGGCTCTTCAAATCTAAGCATTTTCAGAAACGAAATTAAAGAACCGTCTTCATCGATTCTTAAATTTGCAATCGAATAGAATTAACCATTAATAATTGCTTTCCTTTTTCCCCAGAAAGGTCTCGGTAATTAATTCATCTGATGTAAATTGTATATGTTGAAAGGGCAATTTCCTCGAATAATTACTCAAATGATCTGAAAATGCAGCGGCTTGCATTGGAGTCAATTAAATGTGTTCAGTATGACTATCAAACAATTTCTATTGCTTATTTCTTCGTGTTTTGAAATTATGAAATATTTCAAATTATTCCAGGAATCGTCAACGATTCGTTTGTAAATCTGGACTGATTTGCAACTTCATCCATTTCTGTTTTTTTTTTTTTTT